AAGATTTTCATAATTACCGTTTAATCATTTTATTAATTCCGTGTTTACAACCGAGCCGTGAAAAAATGCGTGAAAAATTGGAAAACGTTGCGAATAATAATATATCTCGTTGGAAAATTTTTGTTCCCTTATTATTATTGCCTTCCATTTGCCTCTCTGATCACGTGTCATCATTTTCCTTTTTTCGTAATTAGTTAATTAATACCGGTACACGTAATTTTACGATAATTTTTGATTAATTAATTAATCGATTGATTAATCATGAACACGGTAATACAGAGAGATCGCGTGTAATCCGAATGAAATCGGTTTATTCGGTCAAAGTTCGTAACTTTTAAATCTTAAAAAATAAACGAATAAACGTTGTTCGTAAAATAATAAAAAATAAATATTTTTCTTTAAATAAATTCCTAAATACGCGATATCGTTAAAATAAATTCGAAAATAATCGATATAGAAAAAGATTTTTCCTTTCGTAGATATTTCTTCTCTGATCAAAAACATATAATTAATATTCTCAATAGAAGAAAAATTTAAGGCTGAAAAGAAGAAGAGAAAAAAACGTGAAATGTGAAAAGAAGAACGAAAATAACGAAACAAGGGATGATGGCAACAGAATTCTCGCAGCCTCGTCCATTATTCCATTCCCATACGTGTATGCAAATATGTTTCCTCCATGTTGAATCTTCGTTTCCAAATAACTAACTCTCTAACAAAAGACAAGGGATGGCTTGTCTCTCGTTGATCCACATCGCGACCTCGCATCGTTAAATCTTCAAATACGTAGCTATATGGTACGTGCACGTTATTATTATCAATGCAAATTCTTCAGAGTTTCACTTTCTTCTTCGACTTCTACCTTCGAGACAAAAATTTCCCTCCATTAGACGCGTATATACGTACGTACAAACACGACTTCGTCGATTCGTCACGCATCATTTTCATCGAAGATAACAAGACACGATCGAAACGTTAACTATGCTCGATTAATAGCTTTGAATAATTTATCTCGTCGGTGAATATTAATTAACAATGTAATACACGACGTTTGTGCGAGGATAAACGAGAAAGGATTCTTCCTCGTCAAGAATTTGACGAATCAAACGCTTCCAAAGATGAAGTGAAAGTTCACGATATCTCCGTAAAATTATTCCGTGGAAAAGAATTAACAATCAAATAAAAGTCAATACAATGGACTATAATTTACCTGTCGAGATTACAAAAAAACACTAACCATAATTAACCAATCACGATAAAAACTTCTGCTTAACCCAACCGAGTGCGCAAACCACCGTTTAAAATAAAAGCATTTTCCTTTCTTTTTTCTTTTTAACACCGTTTTAAACTCAAGAAAAAAAGGCAGTACAATACACGCAAACTTACGTGCACAGTGCACAAGTTTTCTATAACTATAAGTTCTATCCATCTATCTTGCATCTTATCACCCTCTCCCCCCCTCCCCTCCCTCTCCCCAACAACCGATCAAAAACTTTCCTCCTTTCCTCCAGTGGCAATATATTAAGCCCGCTTGATGCTTGACCTCGAATCAGTTATGGATTATCTGTCGCCATTTGCCAAATACTTGGGGGCCAGCCCGTGTCAAACTCGTGTCCAGGCCGGCGGATGGCGCGTATCCATCCAGGCGGGCTTCGCAACTTCCGCCATCGGGCAACGGGAACGTATCGATCATGGCGGTTGTCGATGATCGATCGCGCGAAAACGCCAAGTATCCGAGAGGGAGAGGAGGAAGAGAGGAGAGGAGAGAGAGAGAGAGAGAGAGAGGAGG